AATTCACTCCAATAAGATAACCGAAAAAGCTTTGATTCAACAGATATATGTGTCCAGGATATTCATAATATATAGGTGGAAAAAATAGCATAAAGAATGTTGGATAGTTCTACTTTTCAATTAATATACAAATGAGGTGGAGGGAGTTGAGTAATTCAGGTCGTACTTCCAATCTCTAATTCAACTAGAAGCATTTGAACCCGCATACACGTCGTCACACATGCTAAATATCACTTTCTTCAAGATGTCCAAAGAAAACATATATTCTCACAATCGCCTACTGATCAACATTCACATCCACTTTAGTTTGTGCCTTCATCTGAACCATGATGAAGAGCTTTCCTGAACCATCTCATTAACACAAACAGTTGCTTCCATAACCAAAAAAGAAAATTAGTCCCAAGCAAATCCTACTTCAACAGATGTTGAGAAAAAATGTTAATTATCTTACAATTTTATTTTGTCTCCTCTGAATTTCTATTAAAAGGATTCTGTAGAATAATAATCATACTAAAAAGGATTTTTCCTTAGATTATGACAATGAGTTAAACATTCTGAAATATTTCTTATTACTCAGATTTATGAATTATTTCCATGTTTCTCTCAGCTTTCACAGTAAAAAGAGACTCATCAGTTTCACTTTTGCTTTTTTAGTACATTTCATGGCAGGATCATTTTCCTGTTCTCATGCTCTAGCCAAGTGGTGGGCAACCTGCAACCCATCAGGATTCTGTGTGTGGCTTGTGACACATTTTGTTTATCCTTGCCCACATGTGCAGGGTTGCCAGATTCCACTGGCTTCTGTCCACATAGGTTTTTTTTTAGCATGTTAAGGGCACGAGAAGTGAGGTGTGTGATGATTGCACACAACGTTGAGTGTGAGAGCCGTGTACTCCCTCTGCATCCAAACAAAGCGCTGTTATGGGTCAATAAGCACACCCCCACCAATTCTAGGTACGCAAGTGCAGTTAGCAAAATTACCCTATCCTGAGAGAGACCCTCTTAGGTACAACAGTCTTACTGCCTGCTGAGATGAAGGAGGGCCACCCACGCAGCCTGCTTACCAGCCTAGATTGCTCATTGCTACTCTAGCTCAATGCTGCAATGTTGGGTTGCAAACATTACTTCTGAATAAGGATTTCTTTCCACCAGAATTGAAAAGAAAGTCTAAAACTTTTCTAACTGTCCTATATTACGTAAAATATTGTTTTAATTTTATTTTATCATATATAATTGAACCTGAGTGAGCCCATTCCAATTTCTTACAGATACTTGTTTTTAACCTCTGAAATATTTGTTCCACAGAATGAACTACAGGTATGTCTACACTGCCATCCTAGTTCGAACTAGGGTGGCTAATGTAGGCATTCCAACTTGCAAATGAAGCCCGGGATTTAAATATCCTTCCTCATTGCAGGAGGAGTAACGGTAGTTCGAATCAGGAGCTTTAATTCGAACTACCTAGTCCGTGCCGCGTGTAGCCGTGGGCAGGGAGTTCGAACTATGGGGCATTTAAAAATGGCGGCGCCCGGGAACATGCAAATAAAGCCCGGGATATTTAAATCCCAGGCTTCATTTGCAAGTTCGAATGCCTACATTAGCCACCCTAGTTGGAACTAGGGTGCCAGTGCAGACATACCGTAATAGACTAACCTTTATATTCTTCACCAATTTGAAATGTAAAATTATGTATAATTGTTTTGAGTACTTTTAAAATAACTGTGGGTGATCACTGAGGCTTAAAAAAAGCCTTTAAGGAGCAGTAGGTCAAATGTTGCCTAAGTTGGGTCTGTTCAATTATAACTAAGGGCAGAATTTGGACAAACAATATAACTGTATTGTTATAAGCATAGACCAACTCCTGCAGCCCTTCCTATTTGTGAAATACTCACATGAACAGTCTTCTAGAAATTCACAAAATTCCTCACATCAAGATCAGGTCCAATTTAAGATCAGATTTACATTATTCTACTGTGTATTGTTTTATACAAATGTTAATTATTTAAAAATGTGTGTCACTTTGGATTGTATGTTATTTTAAGATTTATAAAAATTTAATGGTAAACTAATTTCAAATCAAATATATACTCTGGGAAATATGATTTGTGTACAAAGACGTAATACACAGCACAGCCCATTAACTCGGCTGCTGTCACATACAGGCAATACTGGTTTTAATGAAAGTGCACTTGTGTGATTACCTAGCTTCCCAAGGCCCTGCTCTCATTTAGGTGGTGTCAGATTTTCATCAAACAGCTCATTTTTAAGCACCGAAATAAGTGGCCAGATTTTTAAAAGTGCTCAACTGCTACTTATACACTTAGGATAGAATCTAAGTCTCAATCCCACTGGCTTCAATGAGATCAGGAATTAATCTGTTGATTAAATTAGAAAATTATTCTCCTCAATGGGAACTGAGAGGCAAAATCTGTCTGCTTCACTTAGCTTCCCCAATGGAAGCTCAGGTCTTTTGAAAATTTGGCCCTTTGTGTTTAAGTGCCAACTGCTGGAAATGTTAATACACAACTGCATGCTCACTTGGATGCACAAATGTCAACATTTTTGCAAATGTATCCAAGGATGTAAGTGTCTGAATGTCACTGATGAAGGTGATAAGATTTTTTCTTTTTTTGGGCTCTGAGTGGATGAAAATCTTCTTTTGTTGTAAAATTTAGCATAGCAATACACATGAAAGTTTAAGACCTAGTGAACCCTGCCTGTGAATGCTGGAAATATTAAAATCCTACACTTTTCAAATGCAATATATTTTTTGAGAAATAAACTGGGCTTCTGTATGGCAGAAACGAGCACTTCAAGTACATAAGCAAACCATTAACAGAGCTATTAAATATAACACAACAGCAGTAGAAAAAGAACTAGAAAATGCATTTTTGTATAAAATAATCAAATTCCACACTATATCCCATATATAGATAAATACAGATTTATACAAGTGAAGAGCTTCTATTGATGATTATCAAGTGATACTTTATATTATTAACACTGCTGATAGCAGTATCAGATTTTTGTCTGTAAAACTGTATCGGCCAAATTTTAATTTCTGCCCAAACTCCTCAACTATCTCAAGTCACCAAAAAGTCATGCCAACAACATAGTCATGTACAATTCCTGAAAACATTAACATCTTTGCAGCTGTAATGAGCAGCATTTTGATATAAAAATCATACCCCCAAAATGTATAACCTGTTACTAAAGATTCAGCAAAAGGAGGCTCTTGTTGTATAAATGTAACAGACTAAATGTAGTAGTGAGATATTTATCCTACTTGGGAGAAAGGAGAAAAACTCCATGTTACTCTCTGTGGCTTTGAATTACTCACCCATGACTTATCAGCTAATTACTTGGTTATAAGATAAATATATTACTCCAAATCATTTATCTTCAACAATATATATCTCACATTACTGACACTTTTTCAAATATCAACACTTTTACACTACTAATTACTAGTTACCAGAACTGTCAAACTAATGAAGAAGCCTAATACTCAGAGGTCTAGATATAGCTATCAACAGTGGTAAACATTAATAGTGCAATCATAAACATTAGGAATCAAGCAAAATAGATTCTCTGTCTATCTTTCATGTCCAATTGGCATTATCTATATACAATATATTTTAACTATTCTTAAATAACATTTTTAAAAGTAACACTACCGTACTTTAAGTCTTGATTTATATATTAATATATCAGTGTGAAACAGGTTTTCTACCACCCAGCCAGAAGGGAAAGCGATGATACAATGACAGAACATTAACAAACTTTATTAGGATACCTAGTGGAAAAAATTATGTGTTTCATGAGGGCATTGTGCAGTTTTCATAGGGTGAATTGGCATCAGTTACCCCAATTAAAAAGTATAAACTGTCAGATTACATATTTGTATAGACAAAATATCAGAGAATCTAGAGAAATCCATTAAAATAGAATATGGGCATTATGTAGGAAAATAATAATTTTTACTTGCATTAAAATGATATGTTTTAGTGCACACTAGCCATAATTGTTACTTCTTTCCCAGAGCAGACAAGTTTAAGGGCTTGTCTACACTACTAGCTTAGGTCAACATATTCAGCAGTCGGTCGAGTGTATCTACACTGCCCAGTCCCTCCTGTTGACCTAAAGGGCTTTTAAAATCAGCCCCTCTACTCCACCTTAATGAGTGAAGTAAAGCCTGAGGTGACATTCATGCCTCAAATTAAGGGCACTGTAAACACGGTATATGCTTATTTGGAGTTAGCCGTTGTGATTGCTCTGGTGAGGACTTTGAACTTCAGTGCTCTTCAGCCAGGTGAGCAGGAAAAGCCCCATTAACTTTTGAATGTTCATTTCCCTTGGAGCAGCATGGAGAGTTTACTAACAGCTGCATGCTCAGGGTCACAAATTCCTCCAGCATGGAGGGAAGGGAAAGTCTATGCAGGGAGAGCTCCGAACCAGAAAAAGAAATGCCGATATGTGTGCCAAAAGTGTGTAGCTGATAGCCATGCCAGACCCCTGGGCAAGGTGAGGGGAACCTGGCTCCATGCTCCTAGAAGGGCAGGGGCCTCAGGCAGAAGGGTCGGGGTTGCCCCACCTCCTCAGACAGCCCTAAGAGCTGCCCCGAGCACTGTAGTGACACTCTGGCAGCAATATAAAGGTCTCAGGGCTCTGGATGTTGCCACTGCCACAGCAGCCAGAGCCCCGGGCCCCTTTGAATCACTGAGCTCTGGGGCAATTGCCTCCTTTGTTCCCTCCTGGTCGGCGGGCCTGTGGATAAGCCCTATACCAAGGACACACAGCAATGCCATGTGAAAATAAAGGAGCTTAGACATTTGTACCACAGGACAAGGCTGGCTCTGAGCCACAAACATGGGAGGCAGATGACATGCACCTATAATCACTTGCAACAATGTTTTCATCCTCTGAGGTGTTGAGACCATAGCCCAGACTTCCAATCTACTGTAGGAACTGTGGGATAGCTACCAAGAAGTGCATCACTCCTTGGCTGCGTCTAGACTGGCATGATTTTGCGGAAATACTTTTAACGGAAAAGTTTTTCCATTAAAAGTATTTCCGCAAAAGAGCGTCTAGATTGGCAGGGATACTTTTGCACAAAAAGTGCTTTTGCACAAAAGCATCCGTGGCCAGTATAGACGCAATTTTGCACCAGAAAGCTCTGATGGCCATTTTAGCCATTGGGCTTTCTTGCACAAAAAATTAAGGTGCTTGTCTACACTGGCTCTCTTGTGCAAGTATTCTTGCGTAAGAGGGCTTATCCCTGAGTGGGAGCGGGAAAGTATTTCCGCAAGAAGCACTGATTTTGTACATTACAAAGTCAGTGCTATTGCGCAAATTCAAGCGGCCAGTATAAACAGTTGGCAAGTTTAAATATTGCCAATCTAGACGCACCCCTTGAGTTGATGCAGCTCCTGGCAGAGAGGATGTGCTCTGTCAAATACAGCTACCTAGTGGGGACCTGCAAAACTGCATTTGTTAATTTAGATGCTCAAAGTTGAATTAAATAACATCTACCCAATGTTGTGGTATTGACATGTCCTAAGAGAGAACTATTATGTTGAAATAGACAAGTTCAGCTGCAGTTTTTTGTTACTTATTTTCTCTTCCCCCTTACATGTAAAATCTTTTTCTTTTAAACAGGTGTAGTTGGGTGTACACACACATGTGTGCGCTGTTTACAGGAAAAAGTAGAAAGGGAAAAATGCACAAAAATATACTGAAAAGAAAAATAACTATTTCAAATTTTTGTACATATGTCTCTCTTCACAATGCTGTAAAAACTGCATTTTGGTTTTGAACAGACTTTTTTTAAGGAAAGCATTGTGTATTGTAATGACATCATATGTATTAGGGACGTAAAATATAAACCTTAGTTTTAACCAGTTGATGGAATAAGCAGGATCCTGATCCCACCCCACCCCGCCCCTGCAGGGACCGGCAGCAGGAGCTGGCAACCCAGTGCACAAGGTGGCTTCTACTCTGGCCCCCCTGCATGAGAGGAAGGGAGCTCCAGACCTTTGTGAGACTGGAACAGTTCTCCACCCATGGCAGGCTGCAGGCTGCTCCTGGGTACCAGGTAACTGGTTACCTATTCACATCCCTGCCATGTACCATCTAAAAAACTGGTTGCTAAAATAATTGAATGCAAGAAAGTAGAAAATGTTGTAAGAAAATACCCAACCCTGGTTGAAAGATAATGTATCTTTCTGTCACAATCTGCTGCCATTTTAATATGCATGTCTTCTTTCATTCTTCTAAGATGTAATGACAAGTTATCTGAACAAACAGTACTAATTCCTTTTCATTAATAATGCTGCCTGCCCTGTTTTGCCTTGCACGTGTTTGCAATGGAGCGGAAGAGTCATCTTAAGTATATTAAACCATAAGCCCTCCCTCTGCTTTATTTTCCATTATAATATTACCTGCTGCAAGCTTTCAATTGTCATGAGTCAGAGTCCCTAAAATCATATGAGATTTTTAAAAATAATAATTTTGGGGTTCTCTTAATTTGACTTCCCCTTTCTGAGCCCTTCAGATTCACATGTTAACCTTTTCTCCATAGACATGAGGACTTCAAATTCACCTTTAAAAAAATAACCTCCAAGAGTTGGGGCTTAAACAAAAAAATTACTAAATATTTCAAGACCTGCTATAAAATCACGAGTTAGTAACACCATGTTTAAAAAGTGCTTTCTGTAGAAAATCCACATAGGTAAACAACATTAGAGTCTTATGTCTCTAGTAAAGAGATTCCTTAATTATCTTGGTTCTACTCGTCAATGCATTTGTAACTGATATGCTATACGTTTTTAAGTCAGAGTTTCCTATAAAATTTACTTTCCTGGGCTTCTGTCAAGCACAGTATAACAGAGTTTTAAGTACTTAATCTACTTGTACATAAAAAAAATCCACTTACATAACTAAAGTTAAATTATTTGGCAGTCATTCAAAAAGCCTGGACTATTGGAAGAAAAGACAACAGCTGAAAAGTTGTCCTATCCTGAGGTAATCTTTGGAGTATTTTAACAAACAGGAATTATTATTAATACATTTTCCTGTTCTAAAGAAGTTCATCCTTTTCAGAGGCAATCACTTTAGTTCTCTTTCTCATTTTCTGTATACTTTTAAGAAATCCTGCCACATATGCCCAATTCTATGCATTGTACAGTGAAGAGGAAACCAAAGAAAACCTGTTAATGAATTATAATCTTGAGTTTACCAGCAAGATTCATGATATAGTCTATCAGAACACCAACAAATTAGTTTTCTAAATTGTACCACTGTAGCTTACAGTGAAGCTGGAAGAGAAAGGAAAGATAGTTTATGGAGACACAACAGATGTCATGTAAATGTAATTAAAGGGGTCAATGTCAAGTACATTTTTGAAACTCTCTGTTGTTTGTATACCCTTTTAGTACAACTGCTTGAAAATGATGCACTTGGCAAACAGTTTTTATTTTGATTTGGTTTTTGCTGGAAACCTAATGGAACACAGTTTCTTTCTTTTGTTTATTTACCAGCATAATCAGTTATGTCAGCACAGTTCTTGGAACTGTTTCATTCTATTTATTCTACAGTGAAGAGCACTGAGTGCTTCTGTCTGAGAGATTTGGGCTATTTTTTTTTAATTAAAATTTCCTGGCAACAGAGTGGTGAAGGATGTTAGAAAAAAATGTAATGAGACATTTGCCTTCCATGGGTCAATGCATATCAAGTAAGAGAGCTAGGTTAAAGTTGGGACCTAATACTTAGCACTGTTCCCCTTAAAAATGTGGAAAACTTTTTTAAATGAAATGGAAGTCTGCTCAAATATCAGAAAAGAATCACATATTAATCTACTCTTTAGCCAAGAGTTGACTAAACCTCTGTTGTTGAAAGGGAGGCTATATGATGAGTAAAAGCCATACTTTTTTTTGCAGACAATATTGTTAAAGTTGGGACCTAATACTTAGCACTGTTCCCCTTAAAAATGTGGAAAACTTTTTTAAATGAAATGGAAGTCTGCTCAAATATCAGAAAAGAATCACATATTAATCTACTCTTTAGCCAAGAGTTGACTAAACCTCTGTTGTTGAAAGGGAGGCTATATGATGAGTAAAAGCCATACTTTTTTTTGCAGACAATATTGC